GTTCTCTAGTGTGATAGTGGCACGATAACCTAATGTCTGTGGAATGAATGTCATCTTTGGCATTATGCAGCTAATACTGCTGGCCTCAGACACTGCCTGCTGCCGGGAGCTTCATCAGCACTATTGATACTCTCTCTAAATGCTGTTGTTGGTGTAGCTATGTTGAGGTGGCCACAGCTCTCTCTCTCTCTCTCTCTCTCTCTCTCTCTCTCTCTCTAAGGGGTATCAGGCTGCAGTGTGGCAGAAAGGGCTTGCTACTCTATGCTTTCATATGTTGTATGGTGTTCATGATATTGTGTATAATTTCTGCCAAGAATATGAGAATGAAATGCATTGCACTAAAGTTTAAGATTATTCGTTTATCATTTCAAAAAAATGTTGCTAATCATGTGTGAAAGCTACTAAGTATGTAATTTCACATATTGGACAGTGGCAAAGTTTTCTGTACCTCAGTACATTTGCTCCATTAAGCAATGACTATAAGACTAAAGTATTAACATCTATATAGGTTGAACCATACAGGAATCACAACCCTTCTTAGACATAGTCCCCTCATTCTGGGATTGAAAATGAAAAAGGAAGTAATTCTGGTATGATTGACCCAGTATATACATCAGTACCCTCAAAAATAAAGCTGTAAATGTTCAACAATATAAGTTTATTGTAAGTGTATAAGTGTATTCCTAGCAGTAACATTAGTTATCGGCCTTCCTTTGCATTCACCAGCTGATAAAGAAATCCACCCAAAAATCATCCCCAAAGTAGGTAGACAGACAGATAGACAGACAGACAGACAGACAGACAGACAGATAGACAGATAGATAGATAGATAGATAGATAGATAGATAGATAGATAGATAGATAGAACTTTATTGATCCCAAAGGGAAATTACAGTAGGAAGACATGTAATTGCACATAAACTTACATATATTAGGCAGAAATAAAATAGGGAAAAAAACAGACATAAATTAGGCAGAAATAGAAAAATAGACATACATTAAAGAAAACTATGAAAGAGTAAGAATAAATATGTCTATAGCATATTTACATAGCATATAAGACAGTAGTTACAGCACAATGAATATAAGCATAACTATGAATATCAGCTGTGTTCAGCAAGTGTCATTAAGTAGTTATTTCCTCCCACCTTCAAGATGCATCATCAGAACAGGGTTTTTCTGGTCTTCAAAGTGGAAAATCTCACTCTAGCGTCTACTGTAGCACTGCTGTAGGATGTGAGCAACCACGTTTACAACACATGCCAACATTGTTAAATATTTCATTTTGGCGGAGTGTCCATTTAAGTACAGCAATAACAGCAATAGCAGTAACAATAACAGCAACAGAGTCAACAATAACAAAAACAATTGTGCCAAGACAATAATGTACAGATAGATCTGTGCTGACAGAACTGCAATAAGGGACAGAGTGCTCCTTAAAACAGACTGTCAGTTTACAAACATGGGCGTTTTGGTCTGTGTGAGTCTGTACATCTATCAGGGTGTGCAGGCATGTGTGTGTGCATATCAATGTGAGCATCTATGAAAATGCAGGCACAAGAAAATGCCTACACAGATGGGTCTGTGGATATGCGGCCAGATCATGAGAGCCATCCCTCCGGCCCCCAGCAGGCACCACTTTCATAGGCCGGCACAACAAGGCTGCCCTTTTGACTGGCCACTGTGGTGAGTGCAGCCAGCACTGCTGCCTCCTGGATGGGGTCCACACTAGCGTTACCGCCAGCCATGGTAAGCACATGGATACTCCTTTAGGAGCAGCTCTTTGGCTAGGATGTCTTGTACTTCTAAAGGTTACACAATTGTGAATAATCACAACAAACTGAATGTGAGACATTATAATTAGCTTTTTTTTACTCTGACATCATCAGATTATAAGAATTTCTTGAAGGCTATGTTCATCGCCCAAGTTTTCTAGTTGTGATGTATTATAATCACCTGCCATCTCCCAACATTTCAAGCATGGTGTTAAATCTGATGATATTACATAACTTCATTTAATCACCATGTCAGGAAAGCTGGTTACAGAGCCATGCAGTTCCAAAACATGACTGCAGAGAGTCAAAGAATATCTTTCTAAAATAATATTCCCAATTTCAAAAGCAAATAAATACTCTGAACTTGTTATCACAACTTGGTTAGTTGGAAACAGGAGCCTTCAAGGAGAATGTGAGGGCTGGTATTTACTGCATAGCCCATTAAGCATTAAAATAGCTTTCTTTGGAACAAGAAAAGATGTATTGGCTTGTTTGGTTCTTTGTGGCTCGTTTGTCAGTTTGACAGTTAAAGGCTTCAAAAATAATTGCCCGAACAAAGGATGTAGATTTATCGCTGAATGCCTGACTTCTTAAACATGCTAGGTTGTAGGGAAAACTAGAATCCTAGCTGGGCAGCAAAACAAGTGTTAACAGGTGCCACCATCGGTAACTAGTGCTTACACTTTGTTAGCTATTTGGATGAGATACAGATGGGAGACAAATTAAAGGAAAAACCAAATAAAATGTCTTAGTAAGGTTTTGGGCCACCACAAGCTGCCAGACCAGCTTTAGTGCACCTTGGCATAGATTCTACAAGTCTCTGGATCTGAGCTGGAAGGATAGAATGCTGTTCTTCGAAAAGCTTTCATGATGGCGGTGGAGAGTCTAACACATTTAACATGTCAGTCCAAAAACTCCCATAGGTCATTTTCGTACTTGTCAAACCATTCAGTGACTTCTCGTTCCTTGTGGATGGGGGCATTGTAATCCAGGAAGTGACCACTCCCATCAGGACAGAAACGTTTCATCACAGGACAAAAGTGATCGATCAGAACAACTTTGTATCGATTTGCAGTGAACCTTACCTCTAAGTGGACTAAAGGCCCAAACCATGCCAGCAAAAGTCCCCACATGGTAAGAGAGCCACCAGGGCCAAGTATTCAGGCCTGTACTGTTTTCGTGGTGTTCACCACACATGCATTCTCCCACTTGTGGACACTATGGTGAAGGATGACTCATCTGACCATATCACTTCTTCCCCATCTCTGTGGTTTTTAATCCACTGGAATGTTAAATGCGCATTTGAGTTTATGCACTACAACCCTACTATGACATCCCTGTCTGTATAGTTGTTGATGGACTATTATAGCTGACACAGTCTGAATATGTCCTGTACTGACAGTTTCAGGCACCTAAGGAACATTTGCTTTTCTGTTTTTCCTCAAATGTTGCACTGATGAGCATCATGGTCATTGAATATTTGCTATTTACCATAATTTCCAAACCTACTTATTGAGGTCTTTCCTAGAGATCTATCATAGATCTGTGTCCCAGTGATGAACCTTCTTTTAAAGTCGCTTGTATCTTTTCCTCCTACCATCTTGATCCAAATCGAGGTCATCTGGGCCTTTTCAGCATTTTTATACAACGGCCACAGAGCATAGGATGTCTGGAAGCACCTGCCATTTGTATGTTTCTCCACTCATTTACTCATGTTTTTCTTTTAATTTGTCACCTGTTTGTACATCTGTACGCCATGCGCAATTATTAGAAAATGTTAACTTGAACTGCTATCTACATAGATACATAGATATGTTGGCCATTAGTTGATGGATTTTGTTCATTTTAAATGAATTTGAAAATTCATCAGTTCAGATTACGTGTGCTAAAGCATGAAAAGCAGCTTTGGTCTGCTAGGACTTGAGTTTTTATATCTCTGGCACTACTTACTGTATTTTTTTATGCAAAGCCATGTTGGGTGATTCTAGACACAGTTTTGTAATCTATATCTATATCTTTGGGAACTGTCTTCGACAAAATCACTCACAAAACACTTAAGTAGGCTTAATCAATTTCTCCTCACCTTGAAATCTTGTAAAGCAGGGCTGCCCAACAAAATTTGGCCCCTGAGCCAAAACTGGCTATGGGAACGTTTGATCAGGGTCATCTGAAAGTTGCTGCAACCCCATCCCTTCACTCACTGAGGGAACATAATTTAAACTATTTATAACCTCAATAAAATCTGTATTTTTAAATATTTTAACATATGTTTAATATGAAATGTATATTCACAGTTTTATTTTCATCTTCAACGTTAATTCCAAGTCGGATTGCGTAGGCTAAAGTTGAATCAGCTAGGCCCTGTGTGTGTGTGTGTGTGTGTGTGTGTGTGTGTGTGTGTGTGTGTGTGTGTGACCATGTATTCAGCTCTATGTGGGGACAAAAGGTCCCCAGGTTGATAGGGAGAAGACCATGAAACATTTGTGGGGACATTGGCTCTCCCAGAAGGTAAAAACTCATTTTACTTAAAAAGGAAAAGCAAAATATTTCCTTTCAAATGCTGCGGTTGAAGTATGACCCCCCAATGTCGGGAATACAAATGTGAGTGTATGAGAGAGAGCGAGAGAGAGAGAGGAGAGAGAGAGAGAGAGAGAGACCGAGACCGACCCTCGTCCTGCACAGCGCCCCTATAGTCGAGCAGGCTGCCTGTGTCTGTGTTTTGGTTGTGTGTGCGGTGTGTGTGTGTGTGTTTGGAGGGAAGAGAGCAGACGGACGGCTCTGCAGCGCGGTGCCCGTTTCTCTCAGGCTGCCGGACCGCGCGCGGAGCTCCACACATAACGAGAATCACCGCGAGACTCTCCGCAGCTTCGAGCCGCCGGAGAGCAGCATCTCAAGGGGGGGCAGGACAGAACGAAAGAGGGAAAAGGAAGATGAAAAATGCCGCGTGAAAGCAAAACCGCTTCACGTTCAGTCCCCTCCGTCAGTTCGCCGTCCTGTCGCGCCTCCGTTCAGCGCCGGAGCTGCAATGAACGCCGCGCCGTGTCGAGCTGAACCGCCGCTCCGCAGACCGAGAGGAAACGACGCGGCGGCTCGCTGAGCTCACTGAGGGAGGGAGGACGGGCTGCGGCTGCGAGCAGCAGGTTCTCCTCCGCGTGTTTGTGCGTGTGTGAGGCGGGTGTGAGGTGTGTGGGGAGGGAACACGGCTGTGGCGTTGCTTATGTTTAGCCCTGGGCAGCTTTTTTCTCTGCTTTTCGTTTCTAAGCCGCCGCCGGGATGCAGGTGAAAACGCAGAGGAGCAGCTCTGAGGACGCGCCGCGATACGCCATGAAGAAAAAGACTTCGTGCTTCTCCAACATCAAAATATTCCTGGTGGCCGAGTGTGCCCTGATGCTGGCGCAGGGCACCGTTGGAGCCTACCTGGTGAGTGAAGGACGCCTTTCTGTCCCTTCTTTACTGGATAAAGGCCCTATAGCTTTAGGATGTACAGTAACACGTGTGAACATGTTTCTGGAGGAACTTCATCGGGACTGGGATTACTGGGGTTAGGTCGGTTGAAAGCTAAAGGCTGTGCTACCTGCCGTGACTGTATCTGCAGTAGTTCGTTGGGATGCAGTGATATGGGATTGGGCCGAAATCCGATATTTTTCGTCTGCGTATCTGCCGATACCGATTTAAACATTTATACTGTAGAAATGTAGAAATTGGGACTACATTCACATTTATTAGCATTGTGGCATATAACATTTATTTCTATAGGCTTACAGTTGTTGTAGTTGTAAAATGAATACAATGCAGACATTTTAGTGACCAACGTCACCTGAATGTTCTGTACAATAAACACGTCATTAAATATTGGATTGAAATGCCAGGCAAATCTAAACATCTGACTAATGCTAATATGAATCCACTACCACCATGCATCCTTAAAGGGGAATTCCACCGATTTTGCATAATTCCATAATTGCGATTTAAACAAAGTCATTCAGAGTGGTTGATGTAAGCTGGCTCGTTGTATAGACTGAGCTTGCTTTACAGTGGTGGTGATAGAATCCAGGAGTTTTGATGTCTACAACACACATATAGCCATTTTATTTACTATCCATAACCACCAGTGAAACTATATATGTCTTCTGATTTTTTTATATGTTATGTTAATCATGGTAAAATGGTGAAAAATCTGAAAAAAAAAGTTTTTGGGAGCTATTTGCCTTACAATGTCCTGCATATATTCCTCTGACACGAATGGATTAAAATAAATGGATGAACAAGATGTTTTAGGCCAAGACTTTATCACAGCACTATTGTAAAACAGTGTCTTCTCTACGACAGAGCACTTAATACCAAACCACTTTGAATGACTTTGTTTACATCTTCACCACTGAATTATGTACAAATTCTGAAAAATTGGTGGAGTTCCCCTTTAATAGGTTGACTTGATAGTAATGTCACCTGCCATAAATGTGCAGCGGCTTAGACATCACGAGATAAATGTCCTTTGGTTAGCAATTCAGAGTTACCTCTTGAAAATAGCACACAAAAAGCAACACTGGCTAAAGGAAAAAGGAACAAGAGAACATTTAATGAGCTTTCAAATTAGCCATGTCCTCAGTCGACTTTTTCAGAGGTGCTTACCTAAACTGGCAACTGAAATGTTTGGTTATGAAAGCACAAGGCCTACCTGCATTCCAAATAATCTGTAACTGTGAGTGAGTGATCAAAACTACGACTGATGGTGGACACCACAGAGAAGCATAGTCTATCCTTTCTGGCCAGATATATATTATAATATCTGTTGAAGCCATCTGAGTTTTTAGACAGTGTTTACAATGTTACTCGCTCTGAGTCAAACTGTTAAACTCTACAGTTAGCATTGTATAGCTTAGCTCTCACTGACACAGACGTTTTTCACTGCCTTTCTCAGAAGAGCCAGAATGACAGCCAGAGTTCTGTAGGTAAGCTCACTGTTCACCAAAGCTGCACTATGTACAGCCCTTTGGTCCACTATCAGAAATACACTCAAGTGCTCAGACCTTATTTGGAGAGGACGTTGCAATCCATTTTGTGTGCTACTTAACCACAAGATATCATGAGAAATGTCTCAAAGGAGCACTTTTGTTCCAGATTAGATTTGTTCCCAGTAGATGGAAATCCTGAGACTTGTGAACTATAGCAGAACCCCCCCCTTTTTAGAATTTTTTTCCCCATAGTTTCATTTCTTAAGGTTATGGACACCGTCCAGCGACACTTCTGCAGATGGTTAGGGTGATTAGCTGAAGTTATACTTCTGAAGAATTCTTATAATGAGTTTTGGGTAATGTAGTGAGGGTGTTTTCCTTGGGGGGCCTAAAATTTCCTTAGCCTCACAGATTTGTGCAGAATTGTCTACTCGAAGAGTCTACTCATCAGACATCCATGGAAATGTAGATGAGTCTGCTCATCAAAGTCTCGCTTACTCTCTTGATTATGTTCACTGATAAAGAGTTCCTGAAGTAGGCCTTTCAGAACTTCAGCTCCAAAAGCATGGTTATTTTATCTCAGAGGAGGCTCTTGGAAATATCTACTTTTTTTTTCCCCTTATGCGTTTTTGGGCACATCATGATCTTTGTGAAGTGCTTCTCTGATCTACTGCGACTGTAGGTCCTGTACTCCTCCCTTTGAGACTCCCTGTTTCTCTCAGCCTGACTCAGAGGCTTCTGTGAGGTCTTGTTTTCCCCCTGTGAGTCTCATTCCTGGGTATTGTGTCAGTTTGCTATGTATAGTAGCATCTAACTGGGCAGACTGCTTTCAAGCAATAAGTTCATGGCTAAATAAGGACCCATTATCACATGTCTGTAATTGTGCCAAGCACATTAACGTTAGCATATTTTTACATGATCACTTAAACAACCTCTTAGCCGTCATGACCATTTAATCAGTCAAGTTTAGTGACATGACATGTAAATAGTATGTCCAAATGTTTGTAGACACCTGTTCATATAGTGTTTTTTCTGAAAACAAAGATAATAATAGGCAATTTGTCCTCTTTTGCTGCAGCGACAGCCTCTAAGTCTTCTGAGAAAGCTTTACGCTCAGTTTTGGAACATTGCTGTGAGGATTTTATTTCATTCAGCCACAAGAGCATTAGATAATTCTTGTGTTGATGTTGGATGATTAGTTCCGAATCACAAATGCCACGCCAGCTCACCCCAAAGGTATTTGATGGAGCTGTATCACTCTGGAGAATGCAGTTCCACTGCTCCACAACCCAATGCTGAAGAGCTTTATACCCCTCTAGCTGGTGCTGGGCAATATGTTATCCATACTGGTATACTTTGTTATTGCTTATTAGTTTTAATGTGAATTATTTTAGTGATCGATAGATAAGGAGCATTATATTCATGATCATAAATAGCAGCATCCTCTTTTCCAAGTGATGTTGTATTTTTTTTTAGTCTTTGCTCAAGAAAAGTTTGCAAAAGTTTGAAAACCCCTCAAATTACGTTTTGTTGATTTTCTAAGTGAAAATAAGTTAACGTCCTCTACAGAGAACAAACTTAAATATGCCATTTTCTGCAGAATTTAATGCATAATTTGTGTTTATTTGCCATGTTTCACATTTTAGGAAAATAGAAAATGTGCCATGATTTTTACACATTGTATGTTTTATTTTTTCCCAATATGGTAATTTCAGCAAATGCACAGTAGCTGTGCATTGAGTTCTCTGTAGATGATATGTTAACTTATTTTCACTTATATATAAAGTTTAAAATAAGCAAAGCGGAATTTGAGCAGGGGCACCCAAACTGTTGCATATGACTACATTGTTTAACTGGGTGCTTGAGATTGTTTTGAAAGAACAAACGGAAAAAAGGAAAGAGAGAGAGAAAAGGAAAGAAACAAACACACACATTATCTAAGCCGCTTATCCTTCCAGGGGTGCTGAAGCCTATCCCAGCGGTCATTGGGTGGTAGGCAGGAAACACCCTGGACAGGTCGTCAGTCCATCGCATTGTATATTAAGAAACAGACCAATCAAAAAAAGCTATGTCAGGTTTCTACAAAATTAATTTAGTACAGAGTAGAAGTACTCAGGAAACATTCGTTCATTAACTTTATTCATCAGATATAGTTTACAGAGATTGCTAAAGTATTGTCTGATGCTGTGATACTAACATGTATTCTAAAAATATTGTGATAGAATTTTTTTTCTGCGTCATCCAGCACTACCTCTACTACTGTGTGATTTTGGGCCTTTTAAGATGCTGAATTCACTACATAGAAGGGGTGTCTGGATGTTTTTGGAAATATAGTGTAACTTGTTTTGAAAGATGCTGCAGTTTATTGCCTCTTTATGGTCCCTACACAGTACAGTGAGCTAACGTGAATGGGGCCCTCGTACTGGCTCTTCATACAAAACAGATGTCTAAGTTTGTAGGTGTTTGTTGGCGCTGCTTTAGTCATTGTGAAAGGCACTCCACAGCATACTCTGTGTGAATAACTAGTAATTCCACAGACTGTGTGAATTTTTATTTTAATTTATCAGGTCAGTGTGCTCATAGAATGCTCAATTGCTGAAATTCATTAAAACTCTTACTTGCTTAATAATGCTGTTCATAATTACGACTATTGGATTTTGATAGAGGGAATACTATTAAATTAATGAATTGCAGCCTTTTGTGATTAGCTGATTAAGACTGGAATACTGATATGGAATATTAATCATTGTTTTCATTTATACACAGGGCTCACTTTTTCTGCCCTTGCCAAGTTTGAGTCCACAGTCACTGGCGCAGAAAGCGGTTAGAGAAGATGAGTCTAATGACTAAGCTAACTCTTGTTAGCTTAGCCCTGCAGGCTGCAGACGTTGTGGCCAAAGTTTGCACATGTCCCCTTTCAGAGGCACTGCGTATACACAAACACATACAAATCGCTCACTGGACCATTACCTTTTATGGAGCGCCATCATTTCCCTTTCAGTTTGCACCTGCTCAATTTGCATGTGCCTGAAACTAGGCAGCACCAACACAGCAATGATACCTAGCCCTCTGGAAGCATCTGTTGGCTGCTTCAGTAGGATGAACAGAATAAATGGTATAAGCTGGCGCCTGAAATGCAAGTGTCCCCTAGGGTCATGCATCTGAGTCCAAGCTCTTAAATGCAATGTAAATTACAATGCATCATCCTTCTGTACTCTGATGTATTTCCGAGTGGAACACGGCATAAAGGAGGGTTGACGCTAGCCAAACGTTTCACGTGACAATAGGTGAGGGTGGTGGGGAACGGGGGAGGCACTGGTTAATATTATTTTTCCCACTGACTGGGGCACAGTGACATCATCTTAAATTTAGAAGCCGTTTTAGAGGTGGACAAAAGTCATTGTCTTTTTTTGGCTTAATATGACCAGAGACTTAAACCAGCAAGGGAAAAACGTTTTGACTGCA